ATAATGCTTCTTAATTATATATATTTTGGTCGACAGTTTATATTTCTTTTGTTTATTCCTATTCTTAAAATAACTGCTTTTTTAGAAACAAACCACCTAAAATATACGTGATTGATGAATTGGCGGAACAACATGGGCACAAAGTTCTTCGTCTGCCTCCTTACCATTGTATATTTAACCCTATTGAGTTAATTTGGGGCATAGCAAAAGGTTACTATAACAGACATATTGGTAGAGATGGTAACAGTGAAAAAGACTGTTTGGATATGTGGAACGAGGCTCTACAAACGGTTACCCCAGACATGTGGAAAAATAGTGTTCGACATACTGAGCAAGAAATTTTTAAATGGTATGAAAGAGAACGAATTTTTGATCGACCAGACATCGAACCTTTAATAATCAACTTTGAGAGTGATGAAGATTCAGATTCAGACAGCGCTGAAGAAAGAAACTCCGACTAACTTTATTGTACAGAAAAAGCTTACACCAGTAGCTTACCTAATTTTAGAATGCATTTTTCTGTATGAATTCTGTAAAATAAATACCATGCATAAAATTTGGAGGACCCCATTTGGATTTTTATTCAGTACCTTTAAGCTATCAATTAAATATGGTAGTTTCATAGTGTCATCTGATCAATAATTGTCATACTTAATGATTATGCAAGTACAGATCTATAATTTTATTATACTATTATTTTTGTTCTCATTTGAGGTTAATATTGCTTATAAACCTAGATATGTAAATAATAAATTTTATTATTTTACAAAAAGTTTGGCAACAATGTAAATTTTTCAACACACCCACCTTGATGACGTGCACGCCACTTTGTTTGGCGTTGACTATACCTTCTAACTTTATTTGAAATCATGGACGTATAAAAATGGCATTTGAAGGACTGGCTTCAGAGGTTTCTGCGCGTTAAGGCAAATGATAAAACATGCGCCCTACCCTCACACCTCACATGAACTGCGAATTCGTGAGTCATGACAATGCGCCCTGAGGCGGCTGCCTCACCTGCTTACCGTTTGTAGCCGGCCCTGGGAATTTGGAATAATTGTTTCAATATTCTTATTACTTCTGATTGTCTACTAACGAATGACTTCCTTCCACCACTGCATCGACAAATGACTATTCCTTTATCCACCATTCTATCCTACATACAATTTATCTTCATGATGGTGAATGTGCCAGGTAGTTTATGCTATGCACATTCAGCATAATTAAATGGTTGAACAATGGCGTGAGGGCCTCATGGTGAGTCAGATCGTCTGGGAACAGCCCATCTCATTCATTATTTTCAGGCTAATTTTTCTGAGCTGGAAGTGTAGAGTTATCCTCTTTGATTACATTTTCCAAACCTCTCAATTGCAATCATTGAATATTCAAAAAGTCCAATAACCTCATCTCGAATTTTAAAATATTCGAAATCCTCACCTATTCTTTATCGCGTGCAAAGAACAAAACCATGATCTACTTGTTCAAAAACAAAAAAATGCTAGGCTTATAAACGAATATTCTATTATTGGAATCAATTTAGGTTTGTGTATTTAGTAATATAACATATTATTATCAGTAAAATGTCGGTACTTCAGAATCAGGTAGCCCATCTGTTCAGCAAACAAGAACAAAAGAATGCACAAACATGATCGAGTTGATATAGTAGCTACATGTGTAGGACTGAGTCAAGTGCGATTAATATAAAATACAGGGTGTTGGTAAAATAACTGGCAGAACTTCAAGGGTCTTTATGTGATGCAAAGAAGGAAAGTTCATATGAACCTTCGTCCATAATGCTTTATTTCCAAGATCAACGTATCAAACTTCTTTGGGAAACTGTCTCATAAAAATCGAAATAGCGTTTTACTCGTTTCTGTGGAAACTTTTGTGGAGTTGGAACAGACGACGTATCGGCGAAAATTATAGTCAAATGCGATGTGTATGGTCATGACAACTTGTGGTTTTTAGACTTTATTCTCGAGTGATTTTAGTTAAACTATCTACAACAAATATGAACAAAAAAAGCCTAATGGGTTGATACGACTATTTTCAATTACCCCCTGAAGTTCATCCAGTTATTAATTAAGATACCCTGTATAAAAAGGATCTATTTTTGTTAAAGAATAAAGCTCGCATACTTTCAATTTTTAATAGAATGCGATTATCGTACAGATAATAAGACCAGTCTTTAACGCAATTAAGACAGAGCTTAATAATTGCGTTGAGGATAATGGAGTTTCAGGATTTTTCAGATTCTCGGTATAAATGCGGAACAGAATGAAGTAATTCTAAAACAACTGAGATAGGCAATCATATATGTATAACAGTCTAGAGACCATATAAAAACATGTTAATATCTAGATGTGGTTTCATTTGTTCAAAACTATCAACATTTGGCAATATACTGATACGCAAAGTCTAACAAGATTTTGAGTGATGCTTGTCTCAAGAGAGTATTTGCGACTGTTTACATCAATATGCAGAGAAAAAGCAAATTCACCCTTGAGCGCTTTTTTCCATACTCCAACTACCACGAAGCCCTAAGGCCTTAACACTCATTGGGTACCGTGGGGGTATAGGGGGATACAGGGGAAAGTGGGAACGCCACACGGACTCTGGCTCCGCCTAAGAGATCCGCCGGGTGGTACCTCCACGTTCGACAGTCAGAGACCATCTACCACCTACGGACAATCACAACATCCATAGCCAAGAGAAAATTTTCTCCTGGGACGGGACTCGAACCCGCACAGCGCACGGCGACTGATCAGGAGACCGAAGAGTCTACTACTGCGGCCACCGCTGCTTAAATATTATGGCAGCTTCGCAATTACATTGATGTGACATTGTTAAGAACATAATATTTTGCGTATCTATGTACACTCTGCTCTTATCTGTTGGTACAACAGTTGTAGAGTGAAGGAGGTATTTGTTCTTCAAAAGAAAATTATATGAACCATTTTATTTGGAAACGTGGATCCTGTGTTGATCTATTCAAAAAATTAAGAACAATAACTGTACATTCAACTGTGCGGTCTATGTTAAATAAAGTTTTAAGAGTTCTGCGGCTACCCAGCATTTAAGGCCATCATTCCAGCTAACCACTGTAGCCCACAGGATGTCGTTGACTTCAAAAAGTCCCTCGATTATGTTACCCAGGATATATAGCAAATTACTAGAATTTATAAAGAGTATCCAATCGATAAAACACTTTTTAAAAGAAAGGTCAGTGAATTTCTTCTATACAATCCTCTATATTCATTGAATGTTTGCTTAAGCATATGATACTTATTAGATTTTTCCTTTAGTGATGTATTTTTACAGGTAGTTGTACACCATTTTTACTAGCTTGTGATGTTTGTCAACTCCAGCACTATATTGTAAAGTTTCATGGAAATAAAGATATTAGTATTATTCCGTATTACAAAATTTTGAATCTACCTACCAGCTTTTGCGATTTTTCTTTGTCGCTCACGACTCACGAACTGAAAACATCATTATTGCAAAATGTCAAAAGTTATGGCATATATCCCTCGAACAAAGGACATATTGTTAATACTGCATTAGTGTTGAGCAGCAAAGCCAACATTGGTAGGTATATACAAGTGATCTCTATAATTCAGAAAGGGTACCCTAAAAAGGTTTATAATGAGTGTCCAAAAACAAAGCTTCGAAAATTATATGAAATAATTGAGCGCCAAGCGTGACGATTTTGTGTGTGTCGGCGTTTTAACTAATTTTATCGGAGGGTCGAATATACGTTTTTACCCTGTGTAGCGCTTGTGCGTCAGCATTGCAATGATCGACATTAATTTAAATCCTATACCATACCGACGAGTGGGCAACAATCTGACTCTCTTCCACTGATATGTCAATCGAAGTTGCATTCGCAATCTACGTGGGTCCTTAGTAAGGAGTCCTTACTCAATTTTAAGCTCCGCCGTTTTCATGGTGCAAAAAGACGTCAGCGTGGCACGCTTTCTATATGTCTTCCGTGAATCTTTTCTTGAGTGATGAATGAAAAGCAAGACAGCGAGGACTGTTCACACGGTCACGTTCAGCTTATGCATTCGAGCCGACCACAGAGACACTTCTTTTTGAAAATTTCGAGGTTTTGAGCCCAGTTTTAGAAGTGAAAAAGTTGAGAAAGTCACGTGATGATTTAGAAAATGTCGTCAAGTCAATTGACTCTGTACTTCCTACACCTTCGTTGGTGGTTTCGAAGAAAAGCGATCAACCAAATTGTTTCAAAAGACGAAACGGAATCGTGGTTAGGTAGGTTATTGACAAGCCGACATATGAGAAACATGTGTGATGCAGATATCTTGAAACAACAGAAAAACCTGTGAACCAAAGTTCGAATATTGACGCGAGTTCAATATTAGCCACAGTAGATTATGTATTTACTTGATGTTCGTATTTATGAGTTTATGAATTTAAGTCCTAGATATAGAATGTAGCCACTTTTTTAAATTTCTTTAGAAACAATTTCCGAAATGTAAATCTTTCAAGTCTTTACGTATAATTTCATAAAATTTTGGCGCTAAATAGAGATATGACCGCTGCATTATAGATTTATGCGGCTGAGGAACTACTGTGCCACGAATTTTGTACCTTGTGTAATGATTATGTTTAATTTTTTGGGCGGTGTTGACAAATTTATGGTACTGAGTGATACTGTGTAAGAAATAAAGCTGTCTTATATCATACATTCGTACATCTGCGTATAATTTGTCAGTGGGATAAAGTTTCGGTTTTTTAAACATCATTTATAGAATACTTTTTTGAAAAACATCCAAATTATAGATATGTGAGGAACATGCAGCTCCCCATGCTAATATACCATATATGAGATGAGGCTCAATCAGTGCATGATATAAAGGCGGGTCCAGACATATGTAATGTATCGTGTAATGTAACATGTAATGTAATGCGAACTCATTTGGACGCTACTTGAGCATAGAATGAATGCAACCAGAATACTTACCGCGAATTGTTTATCCATTTAGTATTTGCGAACATGTCGAGGGAGGTAGTAGTTGCGGGAGCTGCATTTATAGCTATGTATTTACTCGTGGAGGAAAATGAAGATGAAAATAAACCACGCCGTCGTCGCCGTTGGTGGAAAACACAATTATATAAAAAAAGAGCCGGTTCGGAATTGATGATTGATTTAAAATCTCAGGAATTAAGTGAGCAATACAAAAGCTTCACACGTATGTCACCTATCGATTTTGAATATTTAATTACTTTAGTCGGACCAAAAGTAGGAAAATATGATACCCCAATGAGAGCTGCTATATCAAGATAGATTAGCACTTACAGTGAGATTTTTAGCAACGGGGGATTCTTACACAAGTCAACAATACATTTTCAGAATTTCAAAGCAATCTATTTCCTTGATTGTCCCAGAAGTTTGCTTGGCAATTATTGAAGCCATAAAAGAAAATATACGGGTAAGTTTTTAATACTTATTTATTACCTTTCATTTAAATTTAAATTTAGTTTTAAATTTAGATAGTAATGTTAGTATAAGAAACATATGTTTGTTAATTTTACACCAAATCTTGAATGTCGAAAGATTCTTGAGATAGTTGGGAATAGGCGGGAGATGGCTCAGAAAACGTTCCATATGGGGAAATAGCGGGTACCTCCACACGTACGGGAGGTGCGGGCGTTTGAGAGGTAGTGCATGTCGTATTGTTGCTAGGCCATTGCTGTAACTGCTGTGCGTACTGTTTAGGATAAAAATTATAATATCCTTCATCAGCTTTAAATAATACACCTGTTATAGCACGCTCTACAGCATTCCGAACATTTGGTGGATACCTCATCATTTTGCTGCCAATGAAATTAATAAAGTGAAGATTTTCGTTATCTAATGAAACATTTGATGCAGGTTGAGCCTGAGTGGTCGTTGTCTTTAGTATGTCGAGTGCTTCAGCTAGCATTTCAATTTTTTTGTTGTTTTCTCTAGGTTCCGTGTAACTTCTCTTCTTTTTTGGTGGTTGCGAATGTGAAATGGACTCTCTTGGCATGTCTGATTCCTTCACACTATCATTTTCATCATTTCTAGAAACACTGTTACTTACGACGTCGATGTCTACTGCCTGCAACAAAATATAATTTTTAAATTTTCAGGTTCCAACTACTCCAGCGGGGTGGAAAGAAATCTCAAAAAAGTTTGAAGAACTATGGAGTTTTCCCCATTGCATTGGTTCTATGGATGGAAAACATGTACTTATCGATGCTCCAATTCACAGTGGAACTGAATATCGTAACTACAAGTCATTTTTCAGCATTGTCATGTTTGCCGTAGTGGATGCGGAATATAATTTTTTATTTGTGGATGCCGGATGTCAAGGCAGAATATCAGGTGGTGGGGTATTTAAGGATACAATTTTTTTCAAAAAATTGGATGCTGATAACTTGGGTTTACCGCTAGCAGAAACTTTAGTTGGAAGAAATAAAGAAGTGCCTTATGTTCTTGTAAGTGACTCTGCATTTCCACTAGCTGAACATATAATGAAACCATATCCAGGAGATTTTCCTAAAGGTTCAAAGCAAAGAATTTTCAATTACCGTTTAAGCAGAGCGCGGAGAATTGTTGAAAATGTTTTCGGAATCATAGCTTCAGTTTTTAGAGTTTTACGTAGACCAATACTTCTCCAACCCGAAAACGCTGAGTTTATAGTCATGACCATTGCACATCTACATAACTTTTTAAGAAAAAATTCTGAATCACAAAGATATTACACACCGCTTGGATCTTTCGATCGTGAAGAAGCGGGACAAATTGTTGAAGGATCTTGGAGAAATGAACCAAACACAGGTTCATTACTTCCACTTAGGAATGTACCACGAAGAGCTCCTTTGATAGCAAAACACATCAGAGAAGAATTTTCTGATTATTTCTGCAATGAGGGAAAAGTTCCATGGCAAGATCGATACTGTTAAATAGTATATACCATATGTATAGTTTATAAACTGTATTTATTATTGCATTTATAAAAAATACTTACCATAGAATTAAGTCTTTTTCTTGGATTGTCCCTGTCTCCCAAAAATGCCAGTGCTTCATAGGCAAACCATGTGCTTTGATATATTTCTTGACTGCCTGCAAAAAATAAAAATAAATGGTATAAAAATGGTAACAAAACACAGTATACTGTCTACTCCACAACTAATTTAATTTTTAAGGGTATATTATTACCCAATTGTCTATTATCTATAGTATTGTCAATGTGAATAATTTCGAATTAATAACGTAGTAAATTTAAAAAAAAGATAATAGCCAAGTTTAAAAAATCGGATTAAGATTTTGCCGTAGGTACTAAGTATTTAATTAAGGGATAAACATACCTTTTCCGGTTCCTAGGTGCTTCTTTACTTTCGCCTTCTCTCTGCGATAGGATGCAAATAAACTAATCATTTTATTTTTGCACTCTTCTGCTTCTATCCCCAGAGAGTCTGCAATTTTTCGCCAAGCATCATTTTTTAATTGTTTTTTAAAATATGTAGGGTCTTTCGGATTCCATAAGACTGACTGAATTTTGTACAGTTCAATTAACTCTAGTGACTTTTCTTCACTCCACATTTTAAAAATAACACCTCAACTAACACTAAATACGATTTATAGACGTTATTAATTTATCCCGAACTAGGGCTCGATGTCGCAATAACACATACAACTCGAATCACGTCCAAACGTAGACTGCGAGCGCCTTTATGTTCGGGCAAAAAACCGACATCCGATGGATTCCCTCGAACCATTCGGCGAGCGTTACACGTAATGCTCGCAGTACCGTCCAAACGGAGAATTCGCGTTACATTACACGTTACATTACACGATACATTACACATGTCTGGACGCGCCTTAATGTTCGAAAATATTTTTCTGTCAATATATTCGCAAGGTATTTAATTTTGTAGGATACAAATCTAACTTTGTTTTGTTGTTCCCTTCTTCGGGACTAAACGGGAGAGTTTTGGTCTACCTTGTAGCCTAATATATTTGTATTATTATTAAATAATAGTAATAATAATAACAATAATAATAAGCAGTTCGTATAGATAGTGCAAAAATGGAATTGAATGCACAACACCTAACCTTCAAAAATTTTGATGTCTGGTAGTCAAATAAGCACGTGTGTTCTTTTTCAACCCAGTGTCGATTATTGATGGAAGTTGAATGAATAAGTTTGTGTACCTTTTCACGATAGCCGATCCAAGGTTTGAATGTGAAACAGAAAATTTGATTTTCCTGGAGTGTTTGCTTTGCCCGGGTTTGCCTTATGCCTGTGTACCTTATGTATATTGAAACATACAAAATTAAAACATATTACAGTCAATAAGTGAATACTTAAGTATATAGTCTAATCATATTAGACAAAAATAATTGTAACGTCTGGTTTTATTGATGCAAGTTCTTCAAGGGGGTATTTAAAACATGGACGCATAAATGGGTACACCAATTTTCGTGGGAAAACTTTTTATTCAACAACAAAACCCGTTTCTTGGGATTCAGTCGAAAGTGTTGGCAGTAACAAAAAAACACTTCAAATAAGATTTTTAGGTATTTATGAGACCTAGAGAATGTGACCACACGTAAAAATATACCACGAATAGTATAAAAAAAATCGACGATAATTTCACGCAGCTATTTGAAATTCATCCAGTCCGTAGGCTTTGTACTTCTAAATAACCACAACAAAATTGGAGTCGATTGGTCAAGTAGTTTTTGAGAATTTCTAATTGTTTATCCCAAAACACCTGTATTCTGGCCATCACTACTAGTTTACTGAGCAATATCCAGGGTTCGTTCAAAGCACATTTTATAGGAAAATACACGACTTTACCTTGCCAACGTAAATCACAAACCATTATGAAAGATAATTGTTATTTTTACGCGAAAAACGAAGAAGTGTTTTGGGATAAATAATTAGAGATTCTCAAAAACTACTTGTCCAATTGTCTCCAATTTCATTGTAGTTATTTAGGAGTACGAAGCCTACTGATCTTAAGGAATTCAAGTAGCTGCGTGAAATTATCGTCACATTACCAACAAGTGCCAAAACCTACATTTTGCGTCGTTCTTCGGTCATAACATTTTTACTATTAGTCGGATCTATTTACATCTTATTTGAAAAGTTTTTTGATTCCTGTCAACACTTTCGATTGAATCCCAAAAAATACGTTCTATCATTCTTTGTTGTCGAATAAAAAGTTTACTCACAAACTTGCATCAATAAAACTCGACTTTACAATTATTTAGGGGAAATTTGCTAATATGATCAGATTGCTTAAGTTACATATCACTTACCTAATTTCTTGCTAGGACAACATTAATCACGAACAGTTTTTCCATGATTAGGTATCAGTAATAAGATGTAAAGCTTGTTCAAAATTTCTATCTTTGAAAACTCAAATACTACATTAAGGCCAAAACTGGTTTATTTGTCAATACGCTTACATTGTCTCCTGAAAAATTCAAATTCCTTGAATTCTAAGTTTTTGAAATTACTAATTAATTTTACGCTAATCCATTGATTAATGTACGAGCCCCTTCCCACTTCAGTTGGCCCACTTCAAGATTTGTACCAAAATATGCCTTTATAAACTAAACATGACGAAACTATTTACTTCTAAAACAATTTATTTTCTCAAAAACATTTTAGATACACTCTAGTCGTAAAAAATACATATTTGAAACCACTTAGACCTATAACTAATAGAACATCTGAACAAATAAACAATATGCGAATAAATGCGCGAAGTTAACAAAGCAACAATTGAAAGATTACAATTGGGTAACTTCACCTTTATTTTTTATTACGGCTGAAATTCTTTGGGGCATAGTGTTAACCAGGTTTTGGCCAAAATTTGGTGTAAAACAATCACATATTTCTTGAAGCTTTTGTCTCAGTTCGGTGATTGTACGAGCAGGATGTTGTCGTAGAACCTTTTTCATCTCGTGCCACAAAGTTTCAATAGGTGACAGATCTGGACTGCTAGAAACCCATTTCAAAAGCGGTACATTATTTTCTTCCATCCATTTATAGCCTTTTTTGAGGTATGGCACGCTGCACCATCTTGCTGAAACACAAAATCTTGGCCGGATGTCAAACATTCTTCCATCACTGGTAAAATCGATTCTTCTAAAATTGCCAAATATTTATTTGTATCCATATTTCCATCAATAAAATGAAGTTCTCCTACTTCTTTTGATGACATACTGCCCCAGACCATAATGGATGCTGGAAATTTCACTTTTCTCTTCAGATAGTCAACATGGAATGTTTCATTTTTTTGCGAATAACCCTACTGCGACTGTCACCAACACAAACTTCGAATTGGGGAGTTGTCCATTGTCTATGTTCTTTAGCCCATCTAAGCCGATTTTTCTTTTGCAGTGGAGTTAATAGTGGCTTTTCTTTGGCCTATAAACAAGTTGTACAACTTTAACGTTTTTACTTCACTTTTTTTTTATAAGAAAACTTACCTTGCAAGTGCTAAATCCCAGTTTGTGGGCCTCTCTATGAGTTGTGGACCTCGAAATTCTCCTTCCAACAGCGTCACTCCACAGAGCACTTAATTGTAAATAATTGGCACGCATGTTTTTCACGATTATTCTTCTTAATGCTCTTCGGTCGGCATTTGTGATATTACTTTTTTTCACATATCGTGGCTTAATATTAACTGAACCAGTTGCGTTATATCTTCTAACAATATTTCTCACACTGCACCGCGATAAGTCTAACAAAGTTGCAATTTCTGAGTTTGATTTCCCAGAATTAAAAAATTTAATTATCAGTAACCGAATTTTCTCACTAATAACCTTTCCTCTGCCCATTTTGAAAACTTTAATTACCTAAAACTATTTTAAACGTATTCTGACAGCTGTGATTAATAAAAACAATTGTCATGGCTTTTATTTTTCACAGCCACCTATGCGTTATAGACTTATTTTGCATTGAAATGAAAATAGGTTGATATGCTGTAATTGCAACATGTGTTATTTTTATGCTGCAAATTTGATTAGGGAGTGATAAAGTTGGTGTTTCCTACTATATATTATCAAAATATTCATTGTTAATATTTTAAACCTATAACCCCATGCTACATTTTTATTATTTGTGTTTGATAAGAAAAAAACTAAGATTTCAATAGTTGGGCTCGTATTCTACCTGAACATAAAATTTAAATATCCTGTATCAAGGAAGC